TATTTATTTATTGTAGAAATGAGGTCTCGCCAAGTTGCCCAGGCGGGTCTCGAACCCGCGGGCTCAGGCAATTCACTCACCTCAGCCTCCCAAAGCGCGGGATTACAGGCTGAGCCACCGAGCCTGGCCGGACGGTATCTTAACACTTAGCCTTAACCTGCAAGCCCCTTCATTTTATACATGAGAATTCTAGTGACATGCCCCAGGAGCTGCTGATGACAGCAGTCTTAAAGATAATTAACAGTATACCAATGCAAGATTCTATAGCTGTTATTCTCTCTCCAGCCTATTTGCTTCCACTGTACCTTCAGAAGCTGTGACTTCACTTCATCCCTTTCACAATGTCCAGTCCTTTACTTTCTACTTGATCCTTTAACTCTGTAGCTAAAACCAAACTCCACTTTCCCCCTAAAACCCTCCCGCACATTCCCCACATCTGACAGCAGCATCACTACAGTCCCAGTCTCCCAGGGTGTTACCTTTGCCTTTGATCCCAGGGCTCCTCACATCCAAGGACCCTCTGTGTTTCCTTGTGCACATGAACTGCTTTCTCCCTCTCCCTATTCCCAATACTCTCGCCCCCTTTCATACCTCTAGCTTTACTCTGTGCCACTGAAGTCAGGTCCAGTTGCTCAGCCACAGCCTCTTCTCTGATTAGTACTGCATCCAGGCTATCCTCAGATAAATTGTACTTAAATACTCTTCCATCATGTCAGTACCCTATGCAAAAACCCTCCTCACTCCCATAGGGATGACTGCCACAAAGTCTGGCCCCGAGTATATCCTCCTACTTACCCCACTCTCATGCTCTGTCACCAGTGAATCTGAACTATCTGACATCCTCAAGTAGTCCATAGAATCTCTGCCATCTTTCTTTGAATTCACCAGCTAAAGTAGCGGGGAGGCCTGTGAGAATAGAGAAGTAAGCAGCTGGGCCCCCACACAATCAGCACATGTAAGCAGGCAGAGTGGGGAGGGGTTGGACTGTCACCTTCCATACACAACCCTTCTCTCAACCCTCCTCCCTTTCAAGGCTGCCTTTGATGCTTGTTTTAATCAGGGTTTACTGGATACAGTGTTGAGCATGTGCTCTCGAGTGTACTTACCCAGGCCAAGCACACCTCCAGTAGGTAAAACTCAGTTCTCACCCCTACATCTTCATAACAAGAATACTGGCACTAAAACAGACCAGGTCCCTCTTAGGCTCTCAGGGCAGCAACACAATAACTCTGTGAGGAAGAAAGTCAGTTCTCTTTCCTTTGTTTTCCAAAGTCCCCTTTTATACAAAGGATAAGGTACTTTGACCTTGGCAATTTTTAAAAGAAAAGTCTGTTGTTAAGGGAAACTAACCCAGCTGTGAAGTGTTTAATGGGTGCCTGATACTGGTGTCATCTACAAACAAGGCAACCAGCTCCTGAGAGAGTGAAGAAACCAACTGTTCTGCCTCTCCTCTCCAAAGAAAGGACAAAAATATGAAAAATCAAGTCATGGAATATTCAGCACAAATGGCAGCAAAACTTTTAACACTTCTGAGAGCCCAACACAGTAGAAAGGTAAATGATGCCCTTCCCTTTGACGAGTTCTGAAAGCAAGGAAAGCAAACTTCCCTAAGAAGGACAGACTTGAAGTCCAGGACCCTAAACAAGTTCTAAAAGGGTCTTGAGACAACTAATATTGGAGTAGATGTAGATTTGTTTCACGACATTTCTGATTAGAGTCTATGTTAATAAACAAGACTGAATGATCAGAATTTATAAATCAACAGAGAAAAGGGGTCTAAAAAGATAAAGACCAAACTACAGGTTGAGCATCCCAAATCCAAAATCTGAAAGGCTTCAAAATTCAAAACCTTTTAAGTGCCGACATGATATACAAGGAAATACTCATTGGGACATTTCAGATTTCTAATTTTTGGGTTAGGGAACCTCAACCAATATGATGTAAATATTACAAAATCTAAAAGAATCCAAAATGGGAAAGACTTCTGGTCCCAAGCATGTTCAGTAAGGGCCACTTAACCTGTATTATCTCTGAGATGTGGGATTAGAGGATTCTCTCATTTTCTCCTTAGTAGATATTCCCATGATGGGAAGGGGGGATTTGGAATTTTGGATATTACCTACTTGTAATTTGCTTTAAGTGATAAGAAGCTAATATTTAAGTATTATTCTTTGACCAAGTAGTTAATAAAAGTTTAAGAAAGGATTTCAAACATCCTGCATGTCTCTATAGATCTTGACATGCCTATCAGTCCATTCATTACCATACACATACACATACATATACCATACACATGTGTGAAACGCTTAGTAATAAAATTTGTATTTCCAAAACCTTGGTGTGAATCTCTGACCCCAGTGATGAGTGCGTCATGGCCTTATGGCCATGCCAAGTTTACCACCCAAGCCTCTTTCTTCATCTGTAAAATGAGAATCATAACTACTTTATTGAGGAGGTGTGAAAGCTAATTGAGACAATATTTATACAAGGGGAAATTGATCTATTCTAAGGCCTTGACATTAGTAAAGGTCTTAATGCGTGCTCCCAGCTCTCCCTCCTCTCCTTGTCTTCTCTCTACCAGCGGTTCTCACTCTTCACAACTCTCTGAGAGGCACACTGGGCATGAAATAAAATCAGAAGCGGGTGGGACAGTGTATCCCAGAGACCTGGCTTTCTTCTTCAAAAACACTCATTTGAAATTCTATCAGAACATCATATGCCTAAAAAATGCATCACTTCTGTTTTAATTATACCAGAGTCTTACAACTAGATTATTCTCCCCATCATCTAAGAGACAACCACTTAACAGTATATTAGATGCAAACACTTTAGATTTTCCCCATGGGTATAAAGTTTAAACATTCAGATTTGCAAAAAAGAAGCAAATGGGAATAAAGACATTCACAGAAAGATATTTCATATCCATTAGTTATCATTTACACACCAAATACATACAGCATGAAGACCAAATATACATAATTTCCACGTTTATATACAGTAATCAACATAGTGCACAATTCAGATCTATATTACAATCAAGTGTACAAGTTTAAATATGGCTTTATAAACTACTAACAATAACTCTACTAAAGTAACTCATAGGTCCAGAAATAAACACTCTGAAAGCTGTCTCCACACTGGGGTCTTCATTTATCAAGATGCTATTCATTGTGTTTGCAAAACAGATGGTGCAGGTGAATGTTTCCAAGTAGTGTTCACCTATCAGCCCCCAAGCAGCTGAAATGCGGGTTCCAGTTATGCCAACATTGCCCCTTTCTCGCATATCTGAAAATAAGTTTGTACATCTTCCACCCATTTGGAGACATGAGGTTATAAACAAAGAGAAGAAAGGCATGTAATTAGTGAGATAATGAATTACCAGGGTTATCAAAGCATGCTTTTCAGATTGGAACTGAAATTTTCAGGCAATACATCCTGCATTTGTATTATTTATCTCCCCATCCTCTCTTTTTTTTTTTTGTTTTGCTTAAATCACCATATCAGGAAAGCTTTCAGGGATTTTCAAGGCATTCTAGATCAGGTAGTCCCAAAAGCAGAATTTAAAAGACCACTCTTAGAAGTAACATCTAATTGTTCACCCTTTTCTTCCCCTAACCAAAAATGCCTATTTTAAGTAAAAATAATTAAATATCTTAACCTAAGATCATGCATCCATGCCTATTTTATATCTGCTTTGCTACAAATGTTACCTGCACACCCTCTAGTCAATTACAGCCTGCTAGGTGCTACCCCTAAAGACCCCTTGTCCCATTCTCATTTTCTGGTACTCCCTATTGTACTCAATTTTCTCTATCGAGAAAATATACTTTTAAAGTTCTATGCTTGCTATGGTTTTTAATGTATACATCAGTACAGCAGTATATACATATACAGCAGTGTATACATATATACATATGTATAGATCATAAATAAATACACTGAAGGGCATGCTCAGAAAGTTTTACTGATGGAGGAATTAAGCACAAAGGTTTGGAGACCACTGCCTAATAGGCATGATATGGGCCATCTCCAAACACTTAAAGGACTTCTCTAAAACAAACTGTACATTACTTTGTACATTTCATATTTACAAAACTGAAAATATATGCCACAAACACTTTGAGAGACTAGAAGGAAATTCCAAAACCAAAGGAATAAAACATATTGGGGCCAGCCCCTCTAAGCTGCTCCCCAATCCTAGGTTAACTTCAGGTGAGGTCATCTAGGGACAGAAGCACAGAAATTAAGATACAGATAAATGTTACCTCAACACTTCCTGCACCAGCCACTTATATACTCATTAAAAATTTTTCTCTACATAGATTGCATTTGTATTTGATTTATAAACCTGTACTTTTTATTATTTTAGCAAGACACCACCACCTAGAAAATCTTCAACGTGCCTGACACGTCTCTACCATGGTCATACCACATGGTTACTTGAATCCCTGGTATTTGTTACTATTTCTTTCTGTCTTCCCATTCAGTGAAATTCTCACACCACCAAATGAAAGACTCAGACCCTTATTTTCCCACCTAGCACTGTGGAGACACCATCACCCTCATCGACATTCAAGTCGTCAGAACTTCGGCATGATGTAGAGATTACTGGGGAATAAAACATGTTTACAATAAGCATGATCTGATCCCACAAAATGTATTACTTGAGGCAAAAGCATTTTGACAGGAGGAACACAAACATGTTACCAATACTGAAGCAGAAGTCTGACAAAATTTGCGCATTGTCTTTCGACTACTTGCTGCAAACAAAATCTCAGGTCAAGTCATTAAAGGTAAAAAACGCAACCATTTGGACATGGTTTATGTGTTAATAAGCCAAATATGATCTCTTGTTGGGTGTAGAAGCAAATATGAAAGAACACTTCCAATTCCAAACTATTAAGGGGGAAAGCCCATCAACTGATTTTTAAAGAGGGAGATAGTTAATACCCAGAGCATTCCTCTTTCTAAGCCTCCAATGAACAATTATCTTCCCTCTGCTCCCTCTCTAGGCCCCATTAATTAACATGGCAATTCAGAAGATGGATTCTATTTTTTTTAAGTCATAGGGTAATTAAAACAAAAACACAGCTAAAGAAGGAAAAAGGTTTAAACGTTACTAATAAACGAAAGTTACTCTATTCCAGAGCCACGAAGTAAAAATAAATAAATAAAAATAAAAGTTTGCCAGCAGGGGTGGAAGGTGAATTAGTCATATTTAGCAATACATACTTTTCATAAAATTAACTGATTATGGTAAATATACATTTCTACAGTTAGTGGATTATTTCAAAAATGCAAGATGGCCATTAGGTTCATTGCTGAAATTATTTAATTGCATACAGAACACCAAGGTACTATATCCATCTTTTTATTCTAGATGGCTTGTCTCCTCACTAAAATCATCAGGAATTTGGTGCTGGCTAGACCACATGCATAAGTCATTTGTTTTTTTATTGCAATGGTCCCTTTTTATTTTCTACCAATTTGTAAATTTAAGGCAAAAATCTTCATGAAATTTGAGCAACCTAGTTTGTCATGGTCTAGCCAGCAGTAGGATCTGGGGACAAGTTCCCGGCCTTGGCAAAAGTCAGAATGGATGAGAAAGTCACACTGTCAGTTCCAAAACAGTGAATTCCTTTCCTTTAAGCTGTGTTTCAGTACCCTCTATAATCATCTCAAAGGGACTAAGGTCAATATATTGCTGGTTCCAGTAACCTTATCGTAAAGAATGAGGACATTTAAATACCTTTAAGATATTCTTGAAAGTCAGGGACCAAATACCTAAGATCCTGGTAAGAAATACACATGAGAAAAACATCCCACATGTGTTTACATCTACCTCTAACACTAGCACAAGTTCTACAGCCAAGAGGCTCCTCCCTCCCACCCACCAAAGACATCCTTAGAAACTGTGCAAGTTTCAGCCAGACCACTGGAAGCAGCTGAATAAAACTCAAGCTCTTCATAAGCACACACATTTGATGCCTGGACCTGTAAAAGATAGTTGCTAGAGCTCATCATATAGACTCAGAAGTATTTGTCACTGAATGTACTTTTATCAGTTCTTGTTTGACTTAAAGAGTATTGTACATAAAGGAGAACAAAGGATCCTGCATCATAGGCTGGAACAATAAAAATACTTTCACTCTGCAAAGAAAAAAACAACAAAAAAAACAAAAGGAAGAAGAACCTGAGTTGTTTCCTATCAACAAAAGACACCAATCTTTTATTGAAAATACACTCAACAATTGTTTTATGAATGAATGAATACCGAAAGACCTGATTGTGCAGATCTTTCTCCTGTGAGGAAAAATCCAGCCTCTCCCATCCCACCTTCAGCCCCAGGCCAGTTAGCCTATCCATGCAGAGATGGTAGGTTTCAGGGCTGACAGGAAGCTCACTGTGCCCTGAACTCATTTTGATAAGTCAACTTTTTGGGTGGTTAAAAGATAATGATAACAACAACAACAAAATTCTATCACTTTCAAAATTCAAAACATTTTCTCAAATAAGATAACTCTTCTTCCTTACTGTCACTCATAAGATACTCAACGTGGATAACAATAGAGATTATTTTTGCTTGCATATCCCACACCATTTTTTCTCCTATGTTAAAGACAAGAACAAACACTAACAACAATAACAAAGACTCTTTGGAACAAGTTCTCTTCAACTGGGGTCCATCAGCCCCGGAAGGAAACCGTGAATAATCAGGAGGCCTCTAAGTCTCCTGAATTTATATGTAAAATTGAATATATTTGCATATATGTGCTCTTCTGGAAATATGACATAGAACTCTCATTAGATTATCAATGGAGTCCCTGACACACACAAAAATGGAAAATCACTATTTGATGGTATGTGGCCCACCTTCTGAGCATGTCTTTCCTATCCAACCTTCAGGGAAGGAAATGATGATTGTTTTGTTTCTGGAGGAACAGACTATAAAGAGCAGGAAGTCTTCACACAGAACTGACAAAGTCGGGGCTTTGAGAGACAGGTGTGATTTGAGCTAGTGGGGAGGAGGGTGGGGCATTTCAGGAGAGGGACTGGTTTGCACAGAGGCAGAGGTGGGGCACATGAGGCTGGTGTAGAAAATGGCAAATGATGGCTTTCCTGGAGGTGCGCTGGGACAAGGTGAATAAGGGAATGAGAACACCGGGCCCTAAGGAGTAACCCTCACCCTGAGGCAATGTGACATCCCCTTGGGGCCAGAGAGTTTTTTTAGAAAGATTAATCCAACGGCGATGGGTGGGACAGATCAGGGACACGGACATGCATGTAAAAGAGGATGCCTGGAGTCAGAGTCCTGTCTGCTCTCTTTGCCATTATATACCTGGTGTGGATCTCAGGGTCAGGCACAGACCAGATGCTCAGTGAACATTCAGCGAGTGATGCTTAATAAAGAATGAGGAATCTTCGTGATTTAGAAATCCATCTTGCTATTCTTCACAGAGCCAAGCAGTGCCTTGCAGACACTGAAGAAAGGTCTCTTGTACTGGCCTGGACTAGGCTGATGGCACATGCAAGAGTAAAGGAGGATTCGAAGCACACTCAGAGAGAATGGGGATGTGCTTGTTCTGTGAACGTGGAGTGATTTCTCAGGGAGCGTGGGTTTTTCAAGAAAACCAAGCCAAGGCAGCGTGATGGAAAGAACCATCAAGGGCAAGGTGAAAGACATTCATTTTGGGATCCTGCCCTTTAAATAGGTACGTATGTATATACACCAAGCCAGTAAAGAGCTTTCTAGAGTGAATCCATGGCCCATTTCTGTCACTGTACTTTCTCTTAAACAAATCTAGGCTTGAAGCTAAAACCCTTAGCACTTCCTTTCCTTGACCCCTAGCTTTATGTTCACAAAAACATATCCTAATACTTCAGCATACACAAGGAGGGCTCACTTGAGGACTAGACTGCAGGTGTGATTCAAGTACAAATTGTTCTAAGTCTGTAATCAGTCTCCTGGGCAGCCCATGACCTTGGTGGTGTCACTGTTCACAATTCATCATGTAACAACAACAAAATGGCCAAAGCTGACAATAAATATAGTTGATCTCTTCGTAAATGTAGACTGTCCTTATATCTATTCTGATGGCTGGTAAAGCATGCTGCTGCTGCTCATTAATCTTGGTAAGTGGGGTGGGGTGAGCAGGGGGAGGTAAAATAGGGGCAGAATTTACTTTTACTCTGAGAGGTACGAAAGAACAGGTGGTCCATGGGTCTTCTGTCCAACCAAAGGCATTGGATAACATGAAGGATCACACTTCAAGTTAATTTCCAGCAAAAAGAAACACAGAAGTTGATCAAGTAAGCCAGATGACCAAAATGTCCTCAAACCTCTTGTTTTGTTTTGTTTTTTCTTATAAGTAGCACATGTTCATCAAATTGGAGAGCATTTCAAATCTGGGTAGCTTAAGAATGAAGCACATAAAATTAAATTCTTCTCAATAAAGACCCACACCATGGTGATTTAGGCTTGATCATTTTGTTTTCTTAACTCATCTTGGGAAAGTAAAGTTGAGGTATATCCTAGGTTTAAATCAAGTTGAAACCTACAAAATGTTGAGTGCCCAGTCAGAAGCTGTCAGGCAAGTGCCTAAGACTCCAGGTGGCAACATCCATACACCCCTGTAGGAGGTACCTAGATGGAATGAATTGTTTAAAACTTCACTTTGAAAATTGGTTTTCCACATAGTTGCTGTCCAATTAATATATATATACACATACACACACACACACACATAAGTCTACATACTCATAACTTAATCATTCTTGGAGTAAAAACACACCACACTTGGAACTATACCGTAAGAACAGATGGCTTGTAGCGCAAATTTCAAACATATTTCTTTCTAACTGAAATGTGATAGGAAAAGGGAAGCTCAGTCTTTGTGAAGACAGGTCTACAGTCTACCCATTCATTATAATCACATTTTCAGTCCAGGAGTGTCTATAGTCACACAGAAGTGCTACCAGTTGACCTTAGGACACACTTTCTAGAGGAGTGGGAAATAACCCCTCCAAATGACACTGAGACTCAAAACAGGCTTATTCATTCATGTCTTCTCCACCAAATTCTCATTAGGCATCAAATAGTCCCCTCAAATATAAATGGTTTTTAACAAGATATCAAAAACTACATTTTCTGTAGAATCAAAATTTCGAACTTATGGTATCTCAGCATTTATTTCCAGTTACAAGTGCCCTACACAATTGCTTACTTGGTAAACAGCCTCAAAATGTTCTTTGTGAACCTACAGTAGTCTTTTAAGATTGTTTTATAAATGCTATATTCAAAGAGTTTTTTTTTCAAGTAAGTACATAAATTTTCTGAAGTTGCCATCTTTTAAGAAGTGCCTCTCTGACCCCATCATGCACAATCCTTACCTAGTCCGTCAGAAGCAAAACAGTTTGTCTGTGAGAGTAAACCTTAACACTGTCCTAGCCCAAATCCACAGTCATTACCCCAGGATCTTTGCCCATATTTCCCTGGAAAATAGCTGAGCCAACAAAGACTATGTCTTTAGAGATAGAGTGCCTTCACAAACATGGATAACCCAGCAGTTAGTGTGCTCTTTGGAGCTGGGGGGCGGGGGGTGGAGAGGGAGAACAGAGAAGAGAAGGGAGAAACACTAAGCTTCGCCCTCAGCTGTCCTCCTCTCACTGGGCAATGGCTGAAAACGCCAGAAAGGTTGCATTAATAAAACTGCATAGTCTATCACTGTACAGAGTGCTATAATACAAGTAACACGAACCTCTTCCTACTTCATTTTTTCAATACATCTTTGCAAGATTTGTGTTTAACAAGACATTATAAGTTAGCAAGCTTTTGCTTACAAAAATCTGTCAAAAAGTTTCCTCTTCACCTCTATGAAACCCACCATATTCCTGAGATTTATTCTCTCCAAATAAATCAAACGCAGGCAGCTTAGCACTCTGCAGTCAACAAAGAACAACATGCCAGTGTGAGCTCAGGCAACGAAAAGAACCCTTTTCTGCAAATACACTGTGGAACTGATGACTGTAGTTGTTGATAGTTTGTAAAAACATTTTCAATGTTCTTTCAACAAAAGATTTTGATTCAGGCAAGATTACAAAGAAGAATGATGTCAAAGTCCTGACCATTCCTTTGTGTGTGCTTCACCCGCTTGCCTTGTGCACATGACCCTGGTTGTTGTTGCCTGGATATGGAATTCCCTGGCCTTCACATCTTCACACATATGAAGTGCGATAAAGAATAAAATGTTGTGTTTATGTCGCACCACTTCCAAGAAGTTTAAAGCGCCATACGATTGTTACTGCATGAATCCCCACGACACCCCTGTGAGGTAGGTAGGTGGAGAGTATTGTCATCCCCACTTTTCAGGTGGGAGAAATGAGGCACACAATAGTTAAAAGACTTGCTCAAAATCACACATCCCGTCACTGGCAAAACTTAGAATAAAACGTGTACTGATTAGCACCTAGCTCAGTGCTTTGCACATAGTAGGTGTTCATCGAATTGCTGTGGATTTTATTTGACTTAGGTCTCAACATAACAATATACACACATAAATTACAAGCAGCCACCCATAAAACATTGATCTCCTACAGTTTTTTTCTGATGATATCTCTCATCACTTCAAACCCTGGCGGATGAAAGAGGTTCAAGAAACCATCTTGTCACTAAGCCCTCAGTTGACGAGGATCAGCGTGAACATTATCAGTTGACAACCTGCTCTTTTGCCTTCTCTACCACACAATATTAGTTTTCTAATGAAAACAAAAATGGATCTCAGGAACCATGCTGACATTATTAATTTTTTTTTTTTTTTTTGGCCTGTTTGTTTTAAATGGAGCCATCTGAATTGTTCTGTGTCTTGTTTGTACAAAAAAGAAATAAGGCGGCTACAGTCCAGTTAGCATGTGGAAACTGTGCCAAGAACGAAGGTCTCCTCCCAGCTCGGATGGATTTCTACCTGGGAAACTGGACCAACCCCAGGGAGTGGCAGCTCCGAAGGAAGAGGGCCAACGGGCTGGCCGTCACTTGCACTGTTCGTGGTCTGTGTAGTCATCCATGTCCACGTCAGAATCAAACAGCGAGTGTCCAGTGAAATCCGTGTCTGGGGTTCTGGAAAAACTGTTCTCTGCTCCCTCATCTTCAAAGGTCTCTGTCCTTGAGTAGAAGCTAAAATCCAGCAGGGGAGTATGGGTTTTGCTGCCTTCGCTACTCTCTTCAGACTCATAGATGGTGTTGTCATCATCATGGTGCCACTCTGGCCAAAACTTCCTCCTTATCCGTTCACAGTACATGGCGAGGTTGATCAGCTCACCTGCAGTGTGAGACAAAAGCAAGGACTAGATTCCAAAGGCAATAAGTTGTCAGTTAAGGCCTGAGTGTCTGTGCCCCCCCAAATTCAAATGTTGAATTTTGCCCCCAATGCGATAGTATTAGGAGGCAGAGCCTTGGGGAAGTGGTTACGTTGTGAGGGCCGAGCCCTTGTGAACATGATTAGTGCCCTTATAAAAGAGGCCCCAGAGAGCTGCCCTGCCCCTTCCACCATGTGAGGACACACCAGGAAGGCTCTGTCTATGAACCAGGAAGCAGCCCCTCACCAGATATCGAATCTGCTGGTGGTTAGATCCTGGCACCGGCAGGATCTGGTGAGGGTCTGCTTTCCCAGCCTGTGAGAAATAAGTTCCTGCTATTTATAAGCCACCTAGTTGGTGACATTTTGTTATAGCAGCCCAAATGAAGAACAATATCCTACCACAGGGATTTCTGGGAAATTTGGAAGAATGGGATAGGGTAGACATGAACAGTGGTTTTCCACAGAGATACTATCAAAATATTTAGATTTTTATGCACATAATAAAAAATGTGAGTGAGAAAAGTTAAATTCAGTGAGTGGGTTGAATGGAATAAAGAAGTGAGTCCTGAGGTAATAGAAACCGGAGGAGTAGTTTACCCAAAATAGCAGATAAACTACCATCACGGGTTCTGTGAAGCATTTTACTGTTTCATGTTGGCCTACCAAGAGAACTAATGCTTTGAATGATTCACATTTAAATTAATTTATATTCTGTAAGAACACACCAACTGTTGGTTGCTTTAAATCAACCAGAAGTTATTCATTTCACAAATCTTTGTAGTGTTACTATGGGCTGAGCACTATGCCAAATAGTTGAAAAAATTATTTTAGAATAAAAACTTTGTTCTACATAATCCATAAAATGGATAACTCAGAATTGTCTTTAGGGATAAGTGTGCCTGCAAATGCATTTAGTGAAACAGATATTGTTAAAATCTTTTAAATAAAATCAAACAGCTGTACCCATTATTGGGCCCCCACTTGGTCCCTGGACTACTTCTTTTTTATGTGAATCAGGGAACTTTTTTTTAAAGTCACTATCATTGCCTAGGCATTTGTCTGAAACATACCAGATAATATGTCATTCATTTCCTAATTCCAAATGAAGAGAGTGAGATTTTTCTTTCAATCCACCAGATGGCAATATTGCTTATAACTTTTAATATATGGTTTGCAACTATCTCTTATAAGATATTATTATCCTAAGAATATTCTCTGGAAGTTTATTTTTTAAGTTATAGAAACATTCATTTATTATGTGTGTAATTTATGCTTTATTATAGAAAAATTAGAAGAAAGGATAAGCAAAAAACAAAAGAATTACCAATAATCCTATTCCCCATAACAGCTTCATTTATATTCTTCAAGAAATGTATATATCCATATATATCCATTTTACATTTGCCCTATAGAATGTAGTATATATGTATTTTGTTTCCTATTACATTTTTTCCCACTTAACAACATATAATGGAAATCTTTGAATTTCAGGTGCTGACACTGGATAATTGCACAGTGTCATTATATGGCTCTACCATCGTTTCATTTGGCCATTGCCAATCCCCTATCACAGGTCATTTAGATTGTTTCTATATTAATATCTCTGTTGATTATAGTCTGTAACTACTGTGTTTTCTTTTTCTATTAAATAAAATAATATATACTCATTTTGGAAAACTAGATTTATATATAAAAGCCGTATAAATACACAAAGAAGGAAACAAAAAAAATCTATGATTTCATTTATCCAAGATCATCATAATTAACATTTTCATGTAACTTCTTTCAATATTTTATCTATTTATTGCCATTATGAATAATTATACATTATCTCCTGTATCATTATTGTAAACATTTTCCCACATCATTAAAATTTTTCAAAACTTGATTGCTACATTGCTTATATGACCATATCCCTGACAACACATAACAGAGCAAATTTGGCGCCTGTCAACCAGTAGACTTGGGTTGGCCATTTCCAGGCTTCTTCGACCATAACAGCTCAACTCCTACTATGTAAGAGTCTCTTCTCTTCTGTACTAGAGGATGCTTTTATAAATGTGCAGGGGTCAAAAGCCAAGAAGTCAACACCCTTGCCCCCTTGAGGAGACACATCATGCAGACCCTCACTTATTTTCTCCCTTGGGGGCAACAGTCAAGAAACACTTCATCAGGTATTGCTGCCAATCACAGGTCACCAAGCACTGGATAAAGGTATGAAGATAGAAGCAAGAGGGAAAAAAATGATCTAACTGGGGAGGTAAAAGAGACATCAAAGATGAACTGTGGTCCCATTGCAGTAGGCCCTGGGAACATCCCTGCTTGACTCAATCAAATCCATTTTCTATGAGCTGCTCCCAGGAACAGACAAAAAATCTGAGTCTACTCACAGGATCCACAACTCTATCCACTTCTTTCATGGCTTTTCTTTCTGTTTTTTTAAAATTTTTTTTAATTTTTAAGTTTTTTTTTAAGATGTGGAATTTTCTTTCTACAGCCTTGTTTCTTCTTCACCCTTCTTCCAAAAGAGTTGCCCGCTTTGTGATTATGTGACATTCAAACTACTTCAGTGTACAGCAATAAAAGTTAATAATCTTAATAGCAAATACTTATGTAGTCCTGTGTACCAGACTCCTATGCTTCACTCAGGAATTCATATTAACTCTTTTAGTCCTCACAGCCTTCATCTCAACTCTACCCTGCCTCTTTCCTGATGAGTTGACAGCCTGGCCTGGTGATTAATAGCTTTGTATTACCCGTCATGAAATATTTTTCTGTAATTTTCTTCCTGAGGTCTCAAGAATTATGAGGAGAGAGAGAGAGGCAATAAGCTGTCATGAAAAAAGCGAAATTCCACCACGTAGCTGAGAAAGCATTGGCTTTGATGAGAAAGAACTGGGAGCCCACATGCCCTCCTCATATCTGCCCCCCAAAAAAAGACGCAACAGAGAATGAAATATAGATTAGTTAGGTCTTATCTTTACCTGGCTTTGCCTGTCCTTACTGTGCCTTGATTCTCCAAAAGCTGACACACTCAACTGTTACCAGGCAAAAGAACAGAAAAATCTGTGTGTATGTTGGGTGAAAGAGATATTCCTGTGTCACAGATGCCCATACTGAAGATGCAAACTTGGTGAAATAATAGAAATGCATTTCTTCTGAGGGTACTGAACAATCAGACAACAATTCCATCCACTAGACTGGTAAAAAGTCTGATACCATTGAAGGCTGACAAGGACGTGGAGGGTCAGGTGCTGGACTATGTGGCTAGTGTTAGTATAAACTGCTACGACTTTTTTGGAAAATAATCTGATATTCTACTGAAATTTTAAATGAATTTATCTGTTGGCCTAGGATTCCACTTATAGTGTTCTATGCAACTAAAATAAAAGCATTAGTAGGTAAAGGTGTATGTACATGGATATCGAATGCAGCATTACGTGTCAGCAAAAAAAGAAAAGAAAAGAAAAAGAAAGATGGAAATAGCCTGAATGCCCATCAGTAGTCGTTGATTGAATAAATTATGGTGTATCCATTTTACAAAATATTGTACAGCTGTTTAAAAGATACAAAGTTCTAGTAAATGAAAAAAGCATGTTATAGAGTAATATGTATAGTATGATTCCATTGTTTGGTTTAAAAACAGTAAAAACAAACAAACCAAAACACCTATAAATGTGTATGTAAATTTGAGTATGAAAAAGAAATAATTCACATGAAATCCTCAGTATTGACTATTTCATGAGGGTGATATTGGACATGGATGCCAGAAAGGTCATAGAGTTTTCAAAACTATCCCCTTGTGATCAACTTATTGTGACTATCATGTATTACTTTTTAAACTTAAAAATCCAACAAAATAAATTATGCATCAACATGGATAGAGCCGGAGGTCATCGTCCTAAGTAAACTGACTCAGTGACAGAAAACCAAACACCACATGTTCTCATTCAGATGTGGGAGCTAAATGGTCACAAAGGTGGAAATAACAGAGACGAAGGACACCACTAAGGGCAGGGGAAGGGGGGGCTTAGGGTTCAGAAACTACCTACGGAGTACATGGTTCATTGGAGAATGGGCCGCCTAAGACAAAATTCCCACCACTACACTAGCCAGAAGACAATCTCAGACAGAAGAAAGAGCCTTTCTCTTTAAGTATCTCAAATGGAAATGCCCTCTTTAGAAAAAGTGGCTAGTTGTTTTTCCCTGTACCAGTCTAATTTCTTTAATAATCAAAAACATTCTGCACGATTTGACGCTGAAAACACTATCACCAGACTCAGAATCCAGAACGAAGTTCCTCCCAGCTGCCAGTCATGCATGGCAGGAACGGGAGTGAGAGAGACGCCTGCCAGCATCTCCCAGCACCACCTGCCAGCCCTTGGTCATGAACCAGCAAATATTTAGAAAACATAGGGCCTCCATCCAAACACACGCATTTGCTCCACAGGTATTTCCCCAGCACCTGCCTGTTCCAGAACCATGCTAGGTGCTGATACACCCTTGTCCTCTCCCTTTAGCATTTATTATGCAGACGAAGAGGACACTGAGCATATCCTCTTCAGGAAAGTTCCTAGCATACATGAACAGTGTAATGAGGACACTCTCTTTGCCTTGTATCCTTGAAACCAAAGGACATTAATTCATAGATCTCAAAATATTATACAAAGACCCGCAAAGGTCATTTGATCCAGCCCTTTCCGGAAGCCAACCCCCTTACAACAACCTGTCTCCGAGCACAGCCTTCCAGGTGAACAGTAAGAGTGCAGAGGTGAGGAGGTGCTTACAAGCTTTTCAAGGAGATCCAGAATTTTCCTCACTTTTAATCTATCACATAATAAGCAAAAAAGACACCTGAGTACAGAAAATAACTGGTGATGAAAGCTACTGAATGAAGTTTTTCTTAGAACACAGAATGTTGGGCTTCTTGCTAATTCAGAAAATAGTGTTAGGGTCTGTGC